GTCAGAGACACCTAAATGCACCGGACACAGTACAACAGTCAGAGACACCTAAATGCACCGGACACAGTACAACAGTCAGAGACACCTAAATGAACCGGACACAGTACAACAGTCAGAGACACCTAAATGCACCGGACACAGTACAACAGTCAGAGACACCTAAATGCACCGGACACAGTACAACAGTCAGAGACACCTAAATGCACCGGACACAGTACAAAAGTCAGAGACACCGAAATGAACCGGACACAGTACAACAGTCAAAGACACCGAAATGAACCGGACACAGTACAACAGTCAGAGACACCTAAATGCACCGGACACAGTACAACAGTCAGAGACACCTAAATGCACCGGACACAGTACAACAGTCAGAGACACCTAAATGCACCGGACACAGTACAACAGTCAGAGACACCTAAATGCACCGGACACAGTACAACAGTCAGAGACACCTAAATGAACCGGACACAGTACAACAGTCAGAGACACCTAAATGAACCGGACACAGTACAACAGTCAGAGACACCGAAATGAACCGGACACAGTACAACAGTCAGAGACACCTAAATGCACCGGACACAGTACAACAGTCAGAGACACCTAAATGCACCGGACACAGTACAACAGTCAGAGACACCTAAATGCACCGGACACAGTACAACAGTCAGAGACACCTAAATGAACCGGACACAGTACAACAGTCAGAGACACCTAAATGAACCGGACACAGTACAACAGTCAGAGACACCGAAATGAACCGGACACAGTACAAAAGTCAGAGACACCGAAATGAACCGGACACAGTACAACAGTCAGAGACACCGAAATGAACCGGACACAGTACAACAGTCAGAGACACCTAAATGCACCGGACACAGTACAACAGTCAGAGACACCTAAATGCACCGGACACAGTACAACAGTCAGAGACACCTAAATGCACCGGACACAGTACAACAGTCAGAGACACCTAAATGCACCGGACACAGTACAACAGTCAGAGACACCTAAATGAACCGGACACAGTACAACAGTCAGAGACACCTAAATGAACCGGACACAGTACAACAGTCAGAGACACCGAAATGAACCGGACACAGTACAACAGTCAGAGACACCTAAATGCACCGGACACAGTACAACAGTCAGAGACACCTAAATGCACCGGACACAGTACAACAGTCAGAGACACCTAAATGCACCGGACACAGTACAACAGTCAGAGACACCTAAATGAACCGGACACAGTACAACAGTCAGAGACACCTAAATGCACCGGACACAGTACAACAGTCAGAGACACCTAAATGCACCGGACACAGTACAACAGTCAGAGACACCTAAATGAACCGGACACAGTACAACAGTCAGAGACACCTAAATGAACCGGACACAGTCCAACAGCCAGAGACAAAGCCTACAGTATACTTACACACATGGAATCGCCCTGTACTGTTCTTGTGAATTGTTCTTTTCTAATTTACAATTTCATTTATAATGCACATTTGATTCAGGACATATAATTGTCTATTTTAATAGTATTTATTTTTTCTTTCTGTGTTTTTGATGTATTGCACTGAAACTATTTTTGTACAGCTGCAATTCTTTTTTTCACTGGGACTAACCTGGTTAAAAAAGGTTAATAAAATGAAATGGACTTACCTGCTAAAATATAGGTTTAATAAAATTATACATTTTCAACAGCAAGATTCGTTTTTCTATATACAGAAAAGATTATTAGCCAATATCTTATTTTAAGGGTTCCATTAACTTTGAAGGTGACCGTTTGGATACAGATCATTGCCAAAATGTATTGTTATTTATCTCTTACCATTATCACACAGGTAGGGCTGGTGATGTAATTTCACCGCTACTCTATATGACGCGTCAAATCTTACATCGGGATGATTGGCTACATCTGATAGGATACACCTGATTGGCTACACCTGATTGGCTACATCTGATTGGCTACATCTGATTGGCTACACCTGATTGGCTACATCATTGGCTACATCTGATTGGCTAACATTTCACGCGTAATAGTGCGGTGTTCAATCTGCAAAAATCTCAATGGCCTGTCCCAAGGTAATTAAGGGCTTGCAGAAGAGAGGGCAGTTTCAAATGCACATAGACATGGGCGTTTAACTTCAACAGGCACATGTGAGTGGCTTTAGTCTTGCTTTGTTAACCCATGTGATAATTGGTCAAATACTTGCATTATCATAATGACCTTATTATTTCCGATGTGAGGCGGTTTATACCTTCACGCGGTGCCGTTGGGTCCCACGCCGTCCACATCTGCACGGTGAAAAACGGAGTCCAGCAGACGATATAGGCCACAACTATGACAAATGTCATTTTAACGGTGGTGATCTTGGCTTTGGAGATGAGCTTCACACTGCTCACTCGGGCCAGCGTGTGGTGGCCTCTCGAGGTCTTTGGGGTCAGGTTCATGCACTGGTCCCTCCTGGTTTTCATTCTGAAGTTTTTCCATATCTTAAAGCTTATGAGTCCATAGCAGAGGGTCAGTATGGCCACGGGGATGATATAGATGGTGAGGCTGATCCAGGTTGTATACGCTTTGGCACCCCAGGGCTCCACGAAAGCTCCCCAGCAGTCATACACTCCCGCTCCCACATCTGTCAGGGAGAAGATGTACATCTGTGGGCTGCTGAACACCAAGCTGAGGACCCAGGAGATCAGCACATAGACTCGGTCTTTCCTTTTGTGCAGAGACCGGAGGGGCTGACATATGGCCAAGCACCTGTCTATGGACATCAGCACCAGCATATAGGTGGAGGCGAACATCCCCACAATCTGGACGTATTTCACCAACCTGCACAGGATGTCGGGTCCATAGAAACGGAAAGTCATGTCCCAGATGAGCTGTGGCAGCACCTGGAATATTGCCACGAACAGATCCGCGATGCAGAGGTGTTTCATAAAGTAGTACATGCGGGACTGGGTGTGTTTGGTGGTGTGGATGGCCACCAGTACGCACAGGTTGCCGGCCAACGCCAGGAACAGGACCAGGGCAAGGACAGTCACCTCCACTTTAGCCACCTCCTCATTCCGCACCAGGGGATTCGTCTGGTTCCCTCTGGTGACTCCAGTCCCAATAGTTAAGTTCCTCTGGGATTCGTTATAAGACCACACGACTGGTCCATTTAATATGGTATTTTCCATTGCGTTTAGAGTATCCTCAGGCAGGCTTTATGCAACGAGCAAAAAATATGCAGCAGGACGAGCGTTCATCCGACTTCAGGCATTTGGATGATGGTTTTATACGAGTGTTTCTTGCTCTACAGTTCATCCAACAGGTACCAGAACGAACCACCAGTGATGTTGGGCTGTTATCCTATATATGCAAGATGGAAAAATGGAAATCCAATGTTGGACTGAAGTCTTATTTCCAATGCATTCCCAAAATGAGACACGGAAAAAATAAAGAAACATATCAACGAAAATAAAAAGTATTTATGCAATTGGTAAAACAATTATTTAACTTTTAATATTGTAATATAATTGTAATTATATATACACATTACATAAAATAACATATATTACAAATACAAGAAATGCGCAGTTCAACCGTCCTAACCTTTTCAGATCCCTACATATTATTCTGAAAATTGTGAACAAACACTTAACAGTTAAGTCAAAAAATATGTTTTAAACAATCCTAAAAGTGTTTGTCCATATCATGAATTGATCAGTTTTGCTAATAAATTGCAGATTATGTTTTTATTACAAATGAACCACTGGATGTAATATTGCAGTGTGTAGATAAATGAGTCGCATAGCCTGTCTTATGTGTTCTGGGTAATAAAATATTCCCGGTAAGATTTTCTCAAAATGAATTTGATTTCTACTTACATGCACATCTGCTTTACTGAATAAAACGAAAACACTGGAAGTCCACAGTTTTTTCTGTGCATAAACCAGAGCTGAACATGAAGCATTGATCCTCCCTCTGAAGCAGCGATCATAATGCTCATGATATTCATACCACCTATATATATATGTGTGCCTGGACACAATTACGCACCAGAAATACATGTCCAGGGTTCCCACTAGGTGTCCGTGCGCCCCACTAAACAGAACATAGACCCGAAAAATGAACTGCATCTCCTAGTCAACCAATAAAGAACAAAACATGGCAAACACGTAAAAATAAATCGTCAAATGAACCATAGCAAAATGAAGACCCCTACAAATGCCCAAATGTGTTTGAATTACACGAGGCGTTAAAAGGTTGCTCTGTTTTACATTTTATTTTACATTTATCAAATAAATAATACACTGGCATTTCAGTTACAAAATCATTGCAATGTACTCCTTACATAAGACTCATGTGTTGCTCCCAGTAGATGAAAGAAATGACCTTGATGATGATGCAATTACCTTAAGGGCCTATATCTAAACCATTCAGTTGGTGCCAAACAGATACAAATGGTCGCAGGTGTTGTATATTGCAATTTGTGCTTTACTCTCCGTCTTCTCTTTGGAGTAACCCTGTTTTTAAAGTATCAATTGTTTATCTGTTGAAGCCAAATCACGATAATCACATAGTGGTGTTTCCACAGAAATATACCTCCAGTACCAAACAGGTATTTGTATCATGGACATTGACATTAAGGTCCTCCATTTATTGAATGTAGTCCACTGGGTATTGCTTTCACTTTCATTACTCTTTATTGCCAGATTCCACATGATTATTGGGTTTGGAGCCATGATCTTGTAACTGGGGAATGAGAAACACCATAATGACAAATGCATAGGAATGTGTTGTCGACCCACTATACTGGCCTGGAGTCCAAATTCAATCTATCCAATTGAATGACCTGAACAGAATATTATGGGCCAGAGCCATATATAAAGCAGTTGGAAAACACATTTGCTGGGTTGTTCTCACTCAACCCCTAGAATATTTTGATTCTATTCTATTTAACCAGGTGGGCCGATTGAGAATAAATTCTAATTTTCAATGCTGACCGGGGAAAAGCTGGGGATTGAACCCATCACATCATACATACAAAGCATGCACTCTACCACTGAGATACCAACTCCTCCAAATATGAGCTCTAATAGGAAGATTCTGGGCCAGATTGTTTTACTTGCTGGCACTTGTTATTCTTGGCCATTTCTCTGAGATTTGCTTGCTCTCTTCATTTGAGGTTAATGCTGACAAAATGTAATCATCATTTGTATGGGCCATCCTCTGGCACAACTTCCCCCAGGACAAATGGCACAATTCACCACAAAGCATCTTTTTTAAATATATTACACAGCATGGCCTCATAGTGATTTGCTTTACCTGTGAATGGTCATACTGTTTTGGCTCATCAGTATACATTGAATGACACAGCAAAACCAGATTTTTTACATTTCTATCAATTTCTTGAAAATATAAAATATCTGGACAAATTTTCTTAGATTCACCATATAGATGATTCACCAAATAGATGATACACCAATTAGATGATACACTAAATAGATGATACACTAAATAGATGATACACTAAATAGATGATACACCAAATAGATGATACACCAATTAGATGTTACACCAATTAGATGATACACCAATTAGATGATACACCAATTAGATGATACACCAATTAGATGATACACCAATTAGATGATACACCAAATAGATGATACACCAATTAGATGATACACCAATTAGATGATACACCAATTAGATGATACACCAAATAGATGATACACCAATTAGATGATACACCAATTAGATGATACACCAAATAGATGATACACCAAATAGATGATACACCAATTAGATGATACACCAATTAGATGATACACCAAATAGATGATACACCAATTAGATGATACACCAATTAGATGTTACACTAAATAGATGATACACCAAATAGATGATACACCAAATAGCTGATACACCAATTAGATGATACACTAAATAGATGATACACCAAAAAGATGATACACCAAATAGATGATACACCAATTAGATGATACACTAAATAGATGATACACCAATTAGATGATACACCAATTAGATGATACACCAATTAGATGATACACCAAATAGATGATACACCAATTAGATGTTACACTAAATAGATGATACACCAAATAGATGATACACCAAATAGCTGATACACCAATTAGATGATACACTAAATAGATGATACACCAAAAAGATGATACACCAAATAGATGATACACCAATTAGATGATACACCAAATAGATGAAACACCAATTAGATAATATACCAATTAGATGATACACCAATTATATGATACATAAAATAGATGATACACCATATAGATGATACACCATATAGATGATACACCATATAGATGATACACCATATAGATGATACACCATATAGATGATACACCATATAGATGATACACCATATAGATGATACACCATATAGATGATACACCATATAGATGATACACCATATAGATGATACACCATATAGATGATACACCATATAGATGATACAATGGAGTGTTGTTTGGCAAAAATATCTGGTTGAAATAAAAGGCAAAATAAATCAAATATAAGATCGTATTTCTCTTGCAGGAGAACAGCAGAACAACAACGTTTGACATGACGGTGGCATTTCCTTCACTTATATTAACAGTGTAGTTAGCTAGGTCCATAAACACATACTACAAACATGTAACGACACTGAGACAATAGTACACAGTTCTTTTCACTCTTCAAATGAGAAGAGCTTGGTATGCTCCCAATAAAAAATATCTTCATTTACGTTACATTGCGACAATGAGTAATTATTAATGGTATGGTATTGAGATGCAGCGTTAGTATTAGTTAGCAAGTGGGGTAAACTAATGCCTGGCACGGTTGCACAAGCCTGGCACATATCGCACCCTGTCGTGAAAGACCTATAAATTACACCTGTCAAGACCAAGTGAAGTGGTAACAGAAATAATGCATACAAATAACCTGTAGATGACCTACCTTCCTGAGGAGATTCTGCTAATCTTAAAGACCCATGATGTCCAGTCTTCCTCCTCAGATCCCCCTCAGATCTCCATCAGATCCCCTCAGATCCCCTTAGATCCCCTTAGATCCCCTCAGATCCCCTCAGTTCCCCTCAGATCCCCTCAGATCCCCTCAGATCCACTCAGATCCTCATCAGATCCCCCTCAGATCCTCATCAGATCCTCATCGGATCCCCCTCAGATCCTCATCAGATCCCCTTCAGATCCTCATCAGATCCCCTCAGATCCACTCAGATCCTCATCAGATCCCCCTCAGATCCTCATCAGATCCCCTTCAGATCCCCCTCAGATCCTCATCAGATCCCCTCAGATCCCCTCAGATCCCCTCAGATCCTCATCAGATCCCCTCAGATCCTCATCAGATCCCCCTCAGATCCTCATCAGATCCTCATCAGATCCTCATCAGATCCCCCTCAGATCCTCATCAGATCCCCCGTCAGATCCCCTCAGATCCCCTCAGATCCCCTCAGATCCACTCAGATCCTCATCAGATCCCCCTCAGATCCTCATCAGATCCTCATCAGATCCCCCACAGATCCCCTTCAGATCCTCATCAGATCCCCTCAGATCCACTCAGATCCTCATCAGATCCCCCTCAGATCCTCATCAGATCTGTAGTGTTAGACATCTCCGCAGCAGTCTATCGTAATTACAGTCACCAAAGTAGCTTGCTAGCTTGTTCCAGTGCTAATCTATTCGGGAGAAAAATGACAGACAACCATCGTATTTTCAGTCTGGGAACTCACTGACTTGTTTATTATGCGCATGCTCACAACAGCATCTCAATCACGCATGTGCACGTTATAACATAGCTTAGGCTATAACATGGCTTTGCTATATTCATATTAACAAATATGCTCAACACTCCCACTCAAAGACATGTTTTCAGCCCCCTACAGTATAAATCAAAGAAAATACATTACTCCAAAATAAAACATATGGCATACTGGCAGTGTCGTAAAAACTTCAAAAACATTTACACTTTGCCAGTTCACATTACTCTCCAAACAAATATTTCTTGAACCTCTCGAACTTGGCCTTTGTCACAGGCTTGGTAAGGACATCTGCCACCATGTTTTCAGTAGAGCAGTATTCTATAGCTATTTTCCCTTCTGTGTGTGCAGATCGTACAAAGTGATACTTGATATCAATGTGTTTGCTTCTCTGTCTGCATACTGGGTTCTTAGATAAAGCAATCGCCCCTTGGTTGTCCTCGTATATCTTGACTGGTACATGCTGGTTACAACACTCCATCCCTTTAAGTAGTTGTACCAAATATATACTCTCTTGAGTAGTGGCTGCTAGTGCCATGTACTCAGCTTCACAGGTGGATAGTGCTACCGTTGGCTGTTTCCTACTCTTCCATGATATAACTGGACCATTCTCAGTTAAACTGAAACAGTATCCTGTTGTGCTCCTCCTGTCATTTTGATCGGCTGCCCAATCAGCATCACTATAGCCCTCAAGCTGTAGGCTTTCCTCACTTTTCTGGAAGTGTAGTTCTTGGTCTATAGTACCTTTTAAGTACCTCAGTAGGTGTTTTGCTGCAGACCAATGCTGTTGCTTTGGTTCTGCTAGGTGTTGTGATAGTTTACCAACTACCCAGCTCAGGTCAGGTCTTGTACATGTCATTATGTATATCAGGCTACCTACCAGCTTTCTATATCCTGTTGAGTCAATAACTTCACCCTCACTGTCAAAATTTAACTTTTGCTCACATGGGGTGGATCTCGGTTTGCATTCGGACATTTTAAATCTTTCCAACACCCTTTCAATGTGTCTCTTTTGAGTCATTTTGATCTCTCCCTCACTCTGCCTAAAATCGATGCCCAAGAAATGCCTAAGTAGACCCATATCTTTCATCTTAAACCTTCTCTTTAACATCTCTTTTACATCCCTCAGTAAAGTGTTGTTACTCGCCGCTATGATTATGTCATCAACCCATACTAACAGAATCACCTTCTCTTTCTCACATTCTCTGTTGTATACACAATGATCAGCATCGTTTTGAACAAAGCCATTCTCTGTAAGATGATCATGCAGTAACATGTTCCAGTTACGCCCGGACTGCTTTAACCCATACAACGACTTATTGAGTTTACACACTAAGTCTTCTCCAGTTTTGGACTTGACCTCAAAACCTTTTGGTTGCTCCATGTATACCTCACAGTCCATATTTGCATGAAGGTAAGCAGTCTTCACATCCATTTGGTGCAGGGTCAGATCCTCCTGTAATGCCACCTGCATCAATGCTCGGACAGAGGTCATGTTGGCTGTTGGTGAGGAAGTCTCTTTATAGTCAATCCCTTCAACTTGACTGTAACCTTTTGCAACATATCTGGCCTTACATGTTTCAGATCCGTCTGGGCTCTCTTTCACTGCATATACCCAGCGGCCTCCCACTGCTTGTTTACCTTTTGCAGTGGTGTCAGAGTGAAAGTCTCATTCTCTGTCAAAGAGCTCATCTCCTCTTTCATCGCGTCAGTCCACATTTGTGACTTGTCAGAGTCCATAGCCTCTCTAAACGTTTCAGGTACTTTGTAAACCATTCTGTAGAAATAATCTACATTCTCACTGTTGTCTTTATTGCACTCAGCTTTACACTGATACTCCTTCAGGTATTCTGGGGCCCTTTTTTGTCTCGTGGGATATCTCCTTTCTTCCTGTTCTTCCTGTGTACTATCTTTTTGGGTTGGACCTGCCTCAGTTGTCTCCACAACACTGGACTCCTTACTGTCCATAGGCTGTCCCTGATCCTGGTTGACTATACGTGGGGACGTATCTCCATACCACTCAATGTCGCCCCCCATGTCACAATCTGTTTGAGTCTGGCTATCTGCACTGCCTTTGGTGATGCTTTTCACCAGCCTATGTTTTAGTACTTTTCCTGTCTCAGGATAATACACATTGTATGCTGGGCTATATTTATCGTAGCCTACAAAAATCCCCTTTTTGCACCTAGAATCCAGCTTTTTCTTATCCTGATTGTACACGTAGCATTCAGAGCCAAATATCTTCATGTTAGATAGGTCAGGTGTTTTTCCTG